TGTTCAAACTGACTAGTGATTAAGAAAATACAAATTTAAACTTCATAAACTGTAATTTACTTTCACACATCAAATTAGGAAATTTTTAAATGATTCATTTGTGGTGAGGAAGTAAGTAAAATTCACTTTCAAGTTTGGCCAAATAATTCAATTTTAATAAAGGAAAGTATCTTATAGAAATGTTCGCATAATGTAACAAAGATGTAAACAAACATGTACATAATAGAAGTGTCCATCTGATTATTGCTTGTGATAGTGAAAATATGTAAATAGTTTGGTGTTGAATAAAATGGCCATAATTATACCGTGTAATGAACCCACACAGCAGAATGTAATGTTCCCATGCACAGTACAATTCAGCCTTTGTGAAGTTAATGCACTAAGTCAATGGTTCTGAAACTTTAGTGGACATAAGAATTACTTGAAGACCTGCTCAAACATAAACCTATTGCTGGTCTCAAAGTAGGAGTTTCTGATGTGATGGCCTGAGAATTTTCATTGTTAACAAGTTATTTCCAGGCAGCACACATTGAGAATAAGTAGGCTGGATCTACACTTGTTCATTTGATCATATGGACAACTGAAAAATTCTACTCATGGAATAATACTTTTCATTATTTAATTTTTTAAAAATGAATGAACATATCCTAATGTATAAAAATATAGAGGCCAATACAACTGAAACAACCAGATGGATGACCAAACAGCAGGCTGTGTGGGGTGACAAAGCTTGGCAGGGGTGTCAGTTGGGGGTGACCAGGCCAGCAGAGGGGGACAGTTGGTGATGACCAGGACCATGGGAGGGGCAGTTAGGGGTAATTAGACTGGCAGGGGGGAGAGTTAGGGATTATCAGGCAGGCAGACAGGTGATTGGCCCTAAACTGGCAGTCGGACATCCCCTGAGGGGTCCCATATTGGAGAGGGTGCAGAATCCCCCATGCACAAATTTTGTGCAGTGCACCTCTAGTATAATTATACTTATGCAGATGCACTGAACAGGATGGAAAGGTATATATCAAACTCTTTAATATTTATCACTGAAAATGGGTGGAAAAGTGAAAGGAAACATTCATGTTAAACATCCTATTATTAAAATCCTTTACTATACCCACAATTAATTTATTGTTGGTATGATAATATCAAGTGAAAGAGAGAAAGATAGAGAAGGAAGAGAGGAAGGAAGGGAAAGAGGAAGAAAGGAAAGGAGGAAGGAAGGAAGGAAGGAAGGAAGGAAGGAAGGAAGGAAGGAAGGAAGGAAGGAAGGAAGGAAGGAAGGAAAAAAGGAAGAAAAGAAGGAAGGGAAAATGAAATGAGTAGATGAATCCTAAATTTATGGATGTCTAGAGGTAGCATTAGATTGGTAGATTTACTGGCAAATACCTCCTTTCTTTCTTAAACCTCATACACCTTTATAATAAACTCTCATTAAAGCAGGTAATCTGAACATAATTCTAGTCCTTGCAAGCTAAAAAAAAAGTTAATAAACAGAAATAAAGAGCTATCCAGAACATTAAAACACAAAATATTAAAATTTATTTAAATTAATCTGATTTAAAGTGAACTATAAAAATGCTAAGAAACATTTTTATATCTTATTTTAGTACCTACATTCAACTCTAAGACTTAAAGCCTAATCATAAATTACTTTAAAATAATGAAAAGCCAACATATGTTTTATTATGTGACAATATATTGCTTATGTGCTAAATATACATATATAAAAAACAATATATGTCTATATGTAGTTAAAATACATATTTAATTATCAAAAGGAGTCTATGATAAAGATATTATTAATACCATCATATCATCATCATCTCTATCATGTAGATAAGAAAACTGAGGTGTAGAGAGCAGAGAGGTTAAGCAACTTCCCCAAGGTCAACTACCCATGCAGTCTGGTTCCAATATCATGCTCTTAACTATTGCATTGCTTGTATTGTATTTCCCTTGGATACATCAACATCCTCAGATCATACACATTGCCAACTATATGTTCTTAAAAAATTTTTTGAAAAATTTTTGGGAAACGTTTTTTTTGGATATCTCTGAAAATGGAAATCATTGTGATTCTCACTGCCACAGGAATATGCAACAGACTATGAACTCTCCTGGAGAGTGAATGAGGAAATTCTCTCTTCTATTGCATTTCCAACTCTTATCATACCCAGATTAGACAAAGCAGCAAGAAAACCATTCCAGCTTCACAGTATCAGCCAAGAAAAATCATCCTCAGGACCAGCTGCCAGCAGCATGCCCTTCAGTGTCTGGCCAGGCTGCCCAGGACCAGCTGTTCTACCAGCCTTCCTTATAGTTTATTGACAAAGAAAAGGCCCAGTTAATTTTTCAAACCAGATGTGTGAGCTGAAACGGATTCACCTGCAAACACATGAATTACTTCTAGAATGCAGAAGTGATAATACTGAAACAATAAATTTTCATTAAGAACAGAACAAAGTGAAATGTTTCCAAACATGGAATTGCTTAGGAGAAATAAATAAGACAACATTTTAGTCCTTTATATCAGAACTTATTTTGGGTTGGTTGGAGATCAAAGAATGCACTTCATCATGAAAGGGACGCTGTATGAATAAAATAAGAAATTTCTAATATTAAGGGAAGATAAGGATAGAAATAGAAAAAGCAGAACAGCTTGGATGACTTAAAAACAGAAAATAAGTTGCATTTTTATGTAAAATTCGGAGTTTAGAAGGTACAGGAGTTGGCACATTCAGTGTAGGAAGAATAGGAGCATAATAAATATTCTCTTGCCATAAGCTGCCTCTTACAAAGCTGGTTTTGATCCCAATTTTTTTTATTCTGGAATTTTTGTTCTATGAATATAAGCACAAATATTATAAATTATAAGTACATTAAATTTTATTTGAGATAATATTCTTGGGTTAATTCTATGTTTTTTATTTGAATCAGTTCATTTATTACTATTTTAAGTATCATTTTTTCATACTCTCATTAAGAATATTAAGAATAGTTACGCAAGCAACTATATTTAATAAATATATCTTTTCTGGACATTGGGCTAATCTACTTCGTACAATGCAACATTACAACTTACAATATAGAATACTCAATAAATATAATGTGACCTCATACATCACAGGTTTTAGAACAAGTGCTTCCTCAGCAGCAATTATATCATCATGAAATCATGTTCCACATTCCAACATAACCAATTGCCATATGAATTATATTACTCAATTATATTTTTAATATTTTAAATTTCTTCCTAGATTATTTTTATGGTTTTCCATATTACTAACAATATGAGTTTTATAAAACTTATTTTACCATTTTGGTTTTAAGAATAATGATCTCTATCAATCTGTTCATTCTTTGAAGTTCATATGCTTATTTTTATTTTTTTCTTCAGGATCAAAAAGGTAGCATCATAGCATCATTGAGTATTAAGCATTAAGAAAGACAGGAGCTGTTGGATCTGCATCACCACCATTTGTCCACTAACCAGATCTGAAATATCATGGCTGATATGTGCACATAAGGAACTATTTGACATTGAAATTGGGACTCAAAATAACTGTTGGCCCAGAAAGGAACTCACTACAGACTGATTCATTTGCCTCTCAGCATAACCATTATGGCTTGTTTCAGTTTAGGTTCTTACAAGAGTATTTCTTGGATTACATGATCTCACACATCTAGAGACAATAATGAACAACATAAACTGATGAACAAAAACAGACCCAGAGAAAGAGAAGCAGCGATCAGACTCTCAAACCTCAGAGAGAAAGTAGGGGAGGGTGGGGGTAAGGGGAAGAGAACAACCAAAGAAGGCATAAATGTGTGCATGCATATGGGCCTCACCAGTGGCCGTGGACAACAGGGGGGTGGGGGCATATGTAGGGAGGAGTTTGGGATGGGAATGGGGGGATGAGGACAATTATGTGATACCATAATGAATAAATTTTTAAAAATAATAATTAAATTAAATTAAAAAATAAAGACAGGAGCAAAAGACAAACTTAAAATGATTGGTCATGAAACTCCACTTTTCTCTTTTTCAATTGAATTTATTTGGAAGAACATTGGTTAATAAAACTATAGTTTTCAGAGTTGAAATTCTACAATACATCATCAGTATTAGAATACAACATATTGTATGTATGTTCATCACCCCAAGTTCAAGTCTCCTTCCATCACTCTTTAATCCCCCTTTCCACATTGCTCTTTACTTTCCCTTATTTAGTTGTGTTAGCTGGTGTGTTTTTTCTCTGTAACACAAAAACTTAAAACATGTAACTTTTTCTACCACATAAGAGGTTATATCATAGTGTTTGAGTTGATTACTAATGTACATTTTGTACTATGTAGGGTTAAATATATGACAATAAAAATTGGCAATTAATGAGTAAAGCATCTGAATATTCTGTGTCTGAGATAAATTTTTACATTATAAATGCATAACCTACTATATTTTCTTATAGCTAACCCTTTTTCTCACTCCTACAAGGCTTTCCTTTGCTCGTTGTTTCTAATTTTAGTGCACTTTGAAAGTCCCAGTGTCTGTTTCTGCTTTTAAATAGCTTACAAAAGCTGTAGGTGATGACTCTGAAAATATGAATGCATATAGCACTTGCCAAAACTTTTTTCCAAAGTTTCTATGAATATAACAACTAAGGACAGTAAACATGACCTCATACATCACAGGTTTTAGAACAAGTGCTTCCTCAGCAGCAATTATATCATCATGAAATCATGTTCCACATTCCAACATAACCAATTGCCATATGAATTATATTACTCAATTATATTACTGAGATATGTTTGTAGTTTTGTTTTCAATAGCTTCCTTAAAAGTCTTTTCCAAATGTTTCACAATGGAAAAACAAAAATTTCAATTTTTTATTTAATCCACATGAATACTTCAATGAATGTTCAGCAATCAACATATTACACCCCCATGCTTGAATTTAAAACAAACACAAACTTAGTTTTCCCCAATGTCACAGTTCAGGACTCACCTGTGGACGTGGGTGTCCAGTGACCAAACAGGTCAATTCTAGGGTTTCTCCTTCTCTTATAGTGTAGACTCTTTCAGAGTAGCGCTCCTCCTCAATATTACAGGCCAACCCTGAGTGCACAATACGAACGGTTGGGGGAGCTGTTGAGTCAGGAAGAGAAAGAAGATACATAAAAGATAAGTATATTTCCTATGAATCATCCTCATTATAAAAGCAATTCTGATTAGATTTTACCAAAGTAGAGTTTATCAAGTTTACCACTCTTAGAATCCCTAAGGGATTAAAAATTTTTCTGGGCAAAAACTTTGGAATTTATGGAAAAGTCACCAATACATTTTTAATGTGTCAAGGAAACATTATGGTGGTGGACAGAAAACTGGTGACTCAGAAAATCACCATCATTACAAAACTACATAATAAAAATTGATCATTAAAATGTAAGGAGCCCTTTCCTTTCTGAAATGCAGATTTTAATATAATAAAAGATGTTGCCCAAATACTAGTTAGTGCAAAGGAAAACTATTGGTAAGAAAAAATGAATTTGAAGTGAAGACACTTTCATTTTTCTATCAATTTTATAAGCCCTCTGGAAGCTAAAGAATGAGAAGATTTAGTTATCAGAAATTGCAAGCCACTTAGTTTTCTTCTTTTTTAAAAATATATTTTATTGATTTTTTACAGAGAGGGAGAGGAATAGAGAATTATTATAGAAACATAGATGAGAAACATCAACTGCCTCCTGCACACCCCCTACTGGTGAACCGAGGTACATGCCCTTGTTTGGAATTGAACCTGGTACCCTTCAGTCCATAGGCCAATGCTCTATCCACTGAGCCAAACCGGTTAGTGCACCACTTAGTTTTCAATATTTATAAATTACTATACTAATATGATCAAAATATGGTCATTGAATTAAGCCACTGAAGAAGTCAATAAACCATTGATGCCTAAATATAAAATTCTGATTCAAAAGAGATGTAGTTCTCATAAAGCTGACCAATATAAATAATTTTTCTCCTAGTTCAGTGTCCCGCAAGTCAATAAAACTTGATGATCACTCATCGGTTCACATATCACTGGAAACCCACCATATATAAAAACGTGCACTTCATCTCATGATAAACTTAAATAAATATTTTCTGTCATCAAGGAGATTACCATCATTTGCTAGCTGCAAATTGGATATCATCCCTATTTGGGAATGCAGTATTTTTGTTTATAATATAGTTGGGAGTGAGAGAAAAAGAGTTATCTTAATTAAAGGCAAGTGGAAAGGCTATATATACCTACAGGTAAGAACAGTAGTAATCTCAAGAATGTCTTGATAGCAATCTCAATCTAAAGAGCAGTGTTATTAGTAGAGGCTGTGGTTGCTTACAAATTAATGCAGGCATATTTGAAATTCTTATTTTAACTTTAAAAGTATCATAAATCCTACAGAATTCGATAATAAATGGTGATTTTTATGAAAGACATAAAATGATTGTACGTCCAATTTATGGGGGGAGGGAACCTTCTGAGAAAATCCATATTCTGAAAATAAAAAGTTTCCCCCGGCCATATGGATGGATGGCTCAGTGCTTGAGCATTGACCTATGAACCAGGAGGTCATAGTTTTATTCTGGTCAGAGCACATAACCAGGTGATAGGCTCAGTCCCCCAGTAGGGGGCATGCAGGAGGTAGCCAGTCAATGATTCTGTCTCATCATTGATGTTTCTATTTCTTTCTCCCTCTCCCTTCATCTCTTAAATCGATAAAAACACAGTAAGAAAGATTTCATTATGTTAAACTTTATTTTATATGACATAAATGTATAGAATACTCAAAGATTTCAATAATAGAAAAGGCCATCTTTTATTACCCCCTTCAATTTCAAACAGAAACTGAAAGATAGAAAAGCTACTTATGGATAATAAAACAAGTGGTTTTTTCAGTTTCTTTCTGGATACCGAAGTAGAGTCCTATTCTTCAGCCTTCAAATTCAGGATTCCACTCTCCAATACCCAGCATCAACTGTCATAAAAATTTCCAACAGTAGGATAAAAATGTAGAGTATGTTTAGAAAGTAGTTTTTACATTCAGTATGCATAATATAATCCCCAGGAACTTGTTTAAAATACAGACTCAGAGATATACACAGAAACCTGAGTTATATATGTAGAAAACCTCAGGAATCTGCATTTTTACTAAACAGCTGAGATGACAGAACTGTGCTACTTAGATCAGATTCTCAGAAATAATTTCCAGGGTCTTCTAAATATTTGTGGACTAAAGAAAAATACTTGAAGGGATAAATAGTCTTTTCTTTTTAACTTTTTTCAAATAACTGAACTTCATGCTATGCATCATTGCACTGATTTAAAAATTTAAATGATGCTTAAATCAAATGCCTTTTTAGTCTATGGAACCAATTTATCAAAAATTGTCTGCCATGTCTTTGAATACTACCTATACATTTATTTAGTTTTATAACATTAGAAATCCTTATCTGTAGTGTTTCTCTAGGTATTCTGATATAGTACGTCATACAATGTTCCCTACAACTTATTCCCTAAAGTGACCACATTTAAATTTCAATTTAGACCAGTGATACTAAGGAGTTACTTATTTAAAAAGATCTGTCCTATACAACTGTATACACACTATAGATAACAAACTGATGAAGTCAATAAACATTTGCAAAATATAAATAGAAAATTGTTTAATAGAAAATATAGGTCCTTTACCTTGAAATATATATCAGTGCCAGTTTTAACTTAATAAGTGATAGCCCACATGTTTATTAATAGATCTAATTATACAGTAGCATGACATCCTTTCCAGACAAATTTATACTTGTTATTTTTGTTTTAATTTCAAGTCAATGAGTAGTATTGCTATTTTAAGATATATCTTTCCAAAATACCATTATGCAAATAAGTAGCTTATTTAAAACATTTAAATTATATAGTCTGTACATTGTGTTCATATACAAGGGTTAATTTTCTGCTACTTTTTTCTAGATTTTAGCACATTCTTGGAAAAGGTAATATAGTATAATCATCATGAAGCTACCACCCATTTTATAGGAGGATGAAGTACTCTCCATATTATAAGTGTCAAAGATGAATTTTTGCTCCTATGAATTAAAATGTGTGCTAACTCATGTTGGGGAGATGGGGTAAAAAAGTTAAAGGAATTAAGAAGAAAAAAATTCCCAGTTTTAAAAATAGTCAAAGGAATGTAAAGTAAAGCATAGAGAATAAAGTAAAGCATAGGGAAAAGGATAAAATGCCTTTTATATATACACTGAGTGGCCAGATTATTATGATCTCTGAATACATAATAATGTCTCTGAATACATAATAATCTGGCCACTCAGTGTATATCCTATGGAAAAAAAGGTTAATATGCAAATTGTCCCCTTGACCAGGAGTTTGACCAGCAGTCAGGCCAGCCAACCACCCATGTCCCCACCCCCTGGCCAGGCTGGCCAGGCCCCACTCATGCACAAATTCATGCACCAGGCCTCTAATACATATATACACTGAGTGGCCAGATTATTATACATTCAGAGATCATAATAATCTGGCCACTCGTATATAAAAGCGAGACAGGAAGTTTGATCACTTGCTATGACATGTGATGACCACCAGGGGCAGCGTAGAACATAGCAGGTGACCAGTTGCAGCTGAGGGAGCAAGGGAAGGAAGAGATGAGGAGGTGAGGAGCAGGAGGATTGCGGGGGAGGGAACCTTGCAGTGTTCAGGTGCTGAAAGAAGGAGGAAGTGGAGAGGCTGGGAGGCAGGGAACCTAATGGCCAGGCCTAGGGACCCTACCCCTGCATGAATTTCATGCAATGGGCCTCTAGTATTGTAATAACTATTTATGGTGCCAGATGGGTACTGACATAATCAAGGTGATCACTTCATAAGGAATAAAAGTGTTTAATCACTATACTGTATACCTCAAACTAATATAATATTGCATGTCAACTGTAACTGAAAATAAACAAAATGTTTATTCAAAATGTTCACTACTTCAACTGCTCGATGATAAGGTGAATATTTTGAAAGCTTCCATTAACTACTTTGTTCTGCAGAAAATTCAACTTAAAATGTCTTAGAACTCATCCAGGTACAATGCTGTTATTTTCAAATTAGAAGTAAAGTCTGAGAACATTGAGAGGAAACAGGACTTGCTATCCCAAAATATGCCTTTGGGATATTGATCATTTTTAGCTGGTTACTTTTAAGAAACAAAGACACAGGGGGGAAAATTTGACCATCTCCTTATCTGCCTAAAGGAATTTAGATGGAGTACCAGCCCAGGGAAGGGGACTATCAGCATAGGTATTTATTAGTGTAACTGGAGGCCCGGTGCATGAAAATTCATGCATTGGAGGGGAGCGTCCCTCAGCACCGCCTGCCCCCTCTCACAGTCCGGTAGCCCTCAGGGTGGGAGGTGACCTGGGGAAGGTGACACCCCATCACACCTCTGCTGCTGCCACTGCCTGAACTGCAAGCCTCAGCCAACCCTGGTTACCTGAGCCTCGAGCAACCCTGGGCGGCTGGGTAGCTACCATCTGGGGCTTGCCTGCACCTTGGGCTGGCCCTGAGAGGCTGGGAGCTGAAGGGACTGGGGGATTCCAGAGACAGGCAAACAGCTTTGCCTTGTGCCTGCCATCCCAGTGGGGATGAGGGAACGGGCCACCGTCTTTGAGGGTATGGCAATCAATTAGCATATTCCCTCTTATTTGATAGGATATAAACTAGTGTGTGATAGATATCGAGGTCTCTCCATGACCCATTATTAGAGATGGCCCAGAAAACAATTGTTAACCAAACTTTTCCTTTTCAATCTCCATGTGAAGTGCCTTCCTCTCCTTTGAAGCCCTAAACTACAACAATCCCTTCTCCTTAGTTCAAAATGGCATATAAACCTTAACTCCTAGGGTCTCACATTCTTATCAGACCCTTGTGTGTACATACTTAATAAATTTGGTTATATTTTAGGATAATTAGGTTAATTAGGATAATCTGTTTTGGGATAATTTGATTACTAATCTAGCCAGAGAATTTAGAATGATAGAAGGAAAATAAATATTGTACCCTGACAAGTGACCTTGCTACAGGTCTGAAGCTAGTTGTGGCCTAAATG